TAAAAATAAACAAACAAATAGGTCAAGTAACAAGTGGATTAAAGCCAAGAAAATAAAATTGTAATATTGGTTAGCTTATTTTATTTGCTTATGGATTATTTGTTGTGAGTTTTGAAGTGTTATTTAAACTAGGTAATGATTAATTAACTATGTTCGGACGTTCTTCTTACTTAAATTTGGTTCATGATCATATTCGAGCACATGCGTAGGTTCGCCACATTCATGTAGCCTTACTAGCCCTATATAGAATATAGAGATTGAAGCCCCGAAATCCAAAAGTATCTTTCCATTGAAAGAACAGTCAATTCAGTTGTATCCTTCTGTATTAACTTGTATTTATTCAGATGTAGTTGAATTTTAAATGCAGCTTTAATGTCAGGCATGGCTTGAAGTTTGAATGTATTTGCATTTCTTAGGTTCAGATGTAGTTTCAATTTCAGTTTTAGTTGCATAATAGGGCAAGTTTGATTTTATTTTAGCTTCCAATTCAAATCCAAGTACAGTTATGGGCCTATGTCCAGGGAAAGGTTGAGATTTAGGTTAGTTTGGTTTGTTCTTTTCGATCTGAATTTTAATCTAGTTCTGTTCTAAGTTTCACACTTAATTTTCATTCACTTTCTTTCGCTTTCCTCGTTTTGTTTTCAAGTTTAAGTTTATTCTTAGGTTTACTAATTAATTTTTAATTGTTTTTCGATTTTAGGTTAAGTACAGTATAATTTAAGTATAGGTCTACTAGGCTCAGCTATAGTTAGGTTTACTTTCCTGTTAATGCTTACTAAACTGGACCTAATAAGTCCGCGTGAGGTTTAGACTTATAGTGCGGTATAGGATTACGCTCAACAATTAGATAGTCAAGGATTAGGAGCATTAATTCGATAGATTTAAGATCTTTAAGCTGCACAAAATACTACAGAGGGAAAGCCATAAATCCAGAGGGCATAAAACTAGAGTGCAATTTGAATGCAATGCGCAATCATCCACAGCCATTTGCTCTACCAGCGGCATGTTCTTCTTGTAGTTTACATTCTGATTTCTCCGATCTGTATTTCTTCTTGCGCACACTCGAGTGCGCTCTAAGGAAAACAATACTCAGCTACCAACTATCGCATGGCTTGGAAACAAACTGGAAAAAAAAACGGGACTCAAATGAAAAAATCTTTCATTTGTACTCATTTATATTAGAATTTTATTCATTTGTGATTGATTTATTTTAGTTCAACTGGAAAACAACTGGAATATATGGGAACGCCTGTCTTGGCACCACTCACCGAAGACTTCGGAGACTCGATACCGTAGCTGCCGAAGATCTTTGAGACATCGAAGTGGCGATAATACGGCTTGTACGGTGTGTACTGCTGGTATCCGTAGCCGTAGGAGGAGGAGGAGGCATGGCCGTAGGAAATGGGGGTGGAGTAATGGGAGTAGCTGACACTTGAGTCAGATCGAACTGATGGGTAATAAACACAGTCATAGCTGTCAGTCCTAAGTAGGAGACCGTTGCTGAGGCGACGGGTTTTTGAAGATGGTGCAATGAGGAGCGAAGCGACTACACTCCTTCCTTAATCAATCGAGAAGCATCACAGGTGAAATTTTGCGCGTCTTTTGAGTCACGAGAGCAAAACAAGGTGCTGGTGCTGGACCACGTACTGGCACTAGTAAATGTCGAACAAGTTATTGATTTGTGCCATGTTCGTTAATCATTGAGTGATCGACTTGGAACTTATGCTGATACTAAATGTACCGCTTAATTTTCATTTGTGAATGCATATCTATTTTTATATTTCGATGATTTTGTAGTTCTTTCCCTGAGACTTGGTCCCTTGATTTTCGTTGCATTCGCTTAGTAATATAATCTTCCACCATTCGCATACCAAAGGACAGCTGTAAATGCTTAGGTTTTCAAAACCCCACCTTCCGACACTCCAAGAAAGAAGACCAACGCGAGGGCGATTGAGATGGGATTCATTTTCGGTGGCCTTCTGCAGAACGATGGTCTGTGGTCTGCAGGCAAGCCACTCCGAGCTATCAGGCACCCGCATTGTTCATCCCACGGCTAGAGCGTAACGTCACGGGCGTGACGCATGCGACATTTTGACGCGCCAAGCTGGCGGCCCGCAGCTGATGATCTCCCTCGAAGGCGCAGGCACCTGCTGGATCGCGCATTTCGGGACACTTCCGCGGCGAATTTTCGGCGAATTTTTGGCCTTTGACCAGTCGAAAAGGAAGAAAAATCTCCATGGCACAAAACATTAAGATTGCAGAAAACTATTGAAAACGCACGGGTAAATAGGGAAAGCGCAACGGGAAGGCCGAAAATCGCCGTTCAGTCAGTACGCGACCGCGAGCTGTCGGAGGGCCATGGCTTCAGAATTTCAATTTAACCCGTCAATGGCACCGCATCGTAAATGCAAAACGCCGCCACGGCCTGGAACATTCGCAATTGGCGTCCCGGAACCGACGCCCCTCACACTTGCACGCCAACACCACGCGCAAGCCATATTTGACTTTTCCAATTGCACCGCGAGATCAGTCGCCGCCGGTTCCCGACGAACGAAATCAGAAAGGCCGACCCAGCCGCGAAACAAGAAACAAGAAATATATTCAAACGCGGGGGCAACAGCGAACAGCCGCATCCTGCTGCCGCACTCGCGTTCGCGCTCCAAAAGTCAAAAAATGCAAAAGTCAACGGCCGATTGACCCGCGAGGCAGCCACGCTTCGAGTCGAACAGCGATCGATCAGCAAAACCCGACGCCCCAGACGCGCCACACGCGTCCACAAATACCCTCCTTCGCCTGCTGTCTACAATTTCCTCCGACGAGACCGAAGAAGCAAAAGTCAAAATTCGCGGAAGGCAAACACCCACACTTCGCAGCGCAAGGCGCAGAGAATGAACCATTGCCGCAGAGCGCCTTCGGTCGCTGTCGGGAACTCGACCCACTTGAGCGGTGGCCTTCCGGCGGTCCCGACTGGCCTTGTGCTCGGTCAAGTTGGTTTCGGGCTGCCCGCAGGGGAGTGTGGTACGGTCAAAATGCGAGAGGGCGCGGTTTTTATAGCCGAATTGCGAACTATTAGCAGTTCGTGTTAGGAGTGAGAAGGTCTGTAGAGTCAACTCTGTAATGTACCTAGAAGTGGCCGGATCCGTTTGACCGATGCTTGATGCGGGCCGAACCGGTGTAATCTCTCGGCTGAGCGACACGGTTCTGCGCTTCTAGAAGCGCAGACATGCAAATCTGGGTGCGGATTGACCACGAACCCTGCCGCAAAGTCCACGCCGAATTGCAAAGCTGTAGATTGTGTGTTCTAGAGCGCATCACCATACATAAGAAGTCGATAAATGTCTTGGTTGGGCTCAAAACATCACCCGAAATTGCTGCCTCGGTAAATTACGAGGGCAGTGGATGCTGTAGGTGTCCACCATGTCAAGGAGATCAGCTTTCTGCCCTTTTACGCAAGGACAGTTGATTGAATCCCATTGCGAATGAGATGGATCGTATTTCTTTCCTGGCTTCCGTGAACAAGGCAAGACAGGACAGGCGTATTCCTGAAGCGATCTTATATTAGGTTTGATCATGACTGAAGTGCTATATCAATGGCCATGGCCAGATGTAGCCATCTGGCCAGATGTGCAATCCCCCTACTCTGACTGGGTGTTGTAATGAGCATATTCTGGAGTTTTAGAATATCGTTTCCCATTGTCTGGTGGATTCCAAATACTGTCTTGCCTGCCAGTGCGGTGCGTTCTAAGTATTGTTGATTCAAAACCTTGTACTTTCACTGAATGGCCAAAATGTCTACTTCGCCAGATGTAGCTGGGTGGCGACTGTTCCATTGATTTGGTGTGCAGCGGCTCTCAATAGAACGACGGATTGATTTTTCACCGCAACTGGTGAGTGACCCCCGATGTCGCTTTGTTAAAATTGAAGAAATCTCATTCGAATGAGATTTCTACACCAATAAATGGGGCGCCACGGACGGGAGATGCGGTCAACGCCATCTCGGCACATGCTCCAGAAGCATCAAGAGACATTAGCGTTGCAGCTAGTTTAACACCTATTTCTTGGAAATCTATTTGTCCTTTTCCTCTTTCTATAAGTACAGCTTGCAATCTGTTGATGTGATAGTATTAATATTATGGTATTATACTAACATTAAAACAGAAATCCGTGTTTAGAAGCAAGAATTGCTCGAAGGAGCTGCATTCAAGTGCAAATGTGCGCGTGTCTTAAACTAAAACACCGAATGAGCAACTAAAGTTGAGGTTATTTTATAGAACAATAGTATTCAAAAGTGAGCCAGTTGCAAGTAAGAAATTTGGTGCCTTGATGAAATGCATGCCACTGAGTTGGCATACTCATCGATCCGATGCCTATGAAGCACTGTGGTCGTGAACACAGCTCCTCATGCTAGGCATATATCCTCTGAACGACTGCCCGGTGCAAGGAGGACGTGGCATTAAATTATCGATGCGCTTGCATTCAGCAACAACAATAGCAACTGGTGTGAGGCAGATCGGATGTTGTCAGCAGTGCATATACTATGTGCCTAGTAGGCAGGGTTATATTTGGTCGTGAGGCGCCTTCCCCCTCACGCGGATTCCCCCAAAACCCCCAACCTACTTCGTCACGCCCAGTGTTATCCCCCACGTGGCGTCACACGGCCCCAGATACTTGAGGGACATATCTTTGCAGCACTCGCTGCCCGCACATTTTTCTAAATCATTAAAAAAACCCCAACAGATTTTTTTGGTAAATGTTTTCAACCCCAGATGTGGAAGTGCTCTGTCAACCAATGACTGGACGCCTGACCACCCCGCTCCCCCCACCACCCCCTTCCCACCAAAAGCCGTCCCGCCACCACAGGGTACCCCAAACGACACCAAACCGCCCCCACACCGCCGCCCAAGCGCAGGCGCTGCCCACCCAGCCCATCAGATACCTGCCAGCGGGGAACGAATTTGCCGATGGGCTCAGCCAGGCCCATGGCCACGGGGCGCGCCCCGATGGCGCTGGCCGAGCCCCAGCGCGCGTGGAGCGTCCGGCGGATCGCGGGGCCGTCGCGACAGGTGAGACCCGCGGCGGTTCCCCGCTTTTTTGAATCAGGGGGATAGGCGATGGATGTTTGCCGCGATTGATGATCGCGTGGAACAGGTGGACCACTGCGGCCGCGACATTTGTTCGCGGGGTCGTCGGCTGCCGGGGTCAGCGTGCGGTCCTGCAGTGTTCGGATACTCTTGCATAATCGACTGCGGTGTGAATGAGGATGGTGGAAGTCGAACCTACGTGGCTGTGGAGCGATGGATCCGCAGTCCGCCCCATTTGGTCGCTCTGGCACATCCGCCGGGCTGATCATAACACCAGCTTTCGGCAAGCCATGCTGGCAACAGTGGAAATGTGGCGCCTCCCCTGGGCTCGCTACAACACTAGCTTGGCAAGCCATGCCAACAGCAGTGGAAATGACTCCCAGGATGGAGGGGAGGCCATGTTTTTCATGGCCGGGTGCTTGCTTTGTTGCTCACCTTGATTAGTCTGCCAGGCGGATGGCGCTGCCAGGTGGCCGCAGAAGGGCGCGTGCCGCACCCAGGAGAACTGTCAAGTTGGAGTGAGCTCTGGGGACAGGCATGTCTGTGCTGCTGGAAAGGTGCGTGTCCCAGCAGCTTGAAGCAACACTGAATGGATGGGCCCTTGCCTGCCACCTTTGCAAACATGGTGGCAGAGTGCTGAGGCCATGTCACATGCCCCTGTGTCAAGACACTTGCAACCCGAAATACATTCCTCAACAGTCAATGCTTGCGCAGACTTCCATTGCAACACAAAGCCAGCTGGCTATGCCCATGAAGCCAATTCGGCCATGCCCCACTCCTGATATGACCTTTGTTTCTCCCAGACCTGAATGTGGTTTGTGCATGCTATGTGGCTGTAAACTCTTGACCATGCCCCACTGAAGAATCCAGTAAATGCAGCAGGCACCAAATAGTTGCCCACATATCCATTTCTGTCCTTGTGCTGCATTTGTGAAAGCTGTGGCAAGATGTTGTTGTAATCTACAGCCCACATGAACAGTATGGCAATGAATGGGTACGCTCCTCCCTCGCTGCGTGGCCATTTCTGTTCCCTACGCATCTTGCTGAGACTGTTGCAAACACGTGTGACAGGGGCTGATGGGTGCACCATGGTAATGCCTTCGTTGCGATTTGCATCCGTTTTGCCGATGAGTCCAAGTAGATGCCAGAATTCAGCCCGTTGTTGATACGCGCAGAGCTATGCATGGATCTTCGAATTCCCATAGCTTCCCTGATATGTGGTAGTTTGCTGGTCACCGTTAGTGCATGTTTGAATTGCCATACTTGTTGCTTTGTGTTTTCTTGTGGTTGTTGGGTACTTTGCATGTTTGCCTACAGCATGGAAACTAGTCACTGAAACATTTGGCCTGCCATAGGCACCAAATGTGTGGAGGTTCTCCGTTGTGGTTCAAAGAGCTTTTGCCAAAATTGCGTGCTTTACTTTACCAGGATCAGAATGGTCTGCATTTGGTTTTGCTGTAATGCAGCAGTTTGTGCACCACTAGGTCGTCAACGTTGCCACTGCTGAGGACCTGAGCGTGTTTGAGCAGCTCGTGACTGCCACGGGTCGAAAGTATGTGATGATCAGTGGCAAGGGTGGTGTGGGGAAGACGAGCCTTTCAGCGTCCCTGGCTGTGCGGCTTGCAGAGGCAGGGCACACCACACTTGTGGTGTCTACAGATCCTGCTCACTCACTGAGTGACTCCCTCGACCAGGTCAGGACCTTAGATGATAACAGGGAATGGTGGCTGGTGCAAGCCAAGCTGTGTGGGACACAGTTCATGCTGTAAAGTTATTGCTCAAAATGTTTTTATTTCAATTATTGCATCTTGTAATCAAATTCTGCAAGAAGAAACTTGGAGCCCTTGCACCTCGCGGGTGTGGGGGAATATTTGCAACATTGCTTATGGTGACCATGAACTTATACACAATGCATTCCTCACACAAGAATTTTCCCAAGTCAACGTGCATCCTGCTTGGTAAAGTTTCTTGTGCTAAGAATATGCAGATTCAAGGGTTGTGGATGCAATGGATACATATATTTGTGAACAAAGATGGTTGCAAGTGTCAAATCCTCTTTGGGGTTTTGTGGCCATCTTCATAGCAGCACATGCCAAGGATGGTGTGCATGTTGTAGGCTCATAGTATGGGCAATATGCACACACCCCTTGAGAACCATTGTCAGTGCCGCATACTCGTGCCTTCATGTATGTTAGGCTCTATTTCTATGGTGGCCCCCCTCTGTGCCATCTGAATATATGGCAGAAGAAGAATGTTGCTCATTTACCCCTTGGCTGGAACAGTTCCACTGCAGTCATTGTACTCCAGGAAGCACCCACGAATCCCAAAGTTCAGACAGCACTGGGGGTGTCAGCTACTAATTAGCAAGTTCAGAATCTGAACTTCAGACCAATGGAAGTAGCAGATTGCATTGCTCAATTGCCCAGATCTGAAAATGCACTGTCCATGCACCTGTGGAGGGTTGATGAGCACCATCCACAGCATTACTTCAAGACAACATGGACAAGCATGAAGCCAGAGTAACTGGCTTGATGAAATAATGTAAATGCAAATAAATAATAAAAAAAATAATGGATCAAAACTGGGTGGCAAACGCAGAAGTGAAGTGAGACAAGACCCTTGAACAAAGTTGATTAGAAGGAGCTCATGGTTGTGTCAGCTTGGCGGTTCCACAGGACGTGAGCGGTGGTACACCAGTGCTAGTGGAGGGCAGCACGCTCCCCCTGTGGGGCATGGAGGTCAACCCGGAGCTTGCCAAGGCGGAGTTCAGGCAGTACGCAGAGGGGGAGGCCTTCGCCACCAGGGCAGGCGATGCCATGAAGGGGTTTGGACTGGGATTGGACCAGCTGGCGGAGCTGAAACTGGGAGAGCTGCTGGACACGCCCCCGCCGGGGCTGGACGAGGCGGTGTCCCTGGCCAAGGTGGTGGAGTTTGTGACGAGCGAGGACTATGCAAAGTTCAGCAGGATCGTGTTTGACACTGCACCAACAGGTGTGGCTGGGTGGGTCCAATCGTTGGGGTTGAGCAGTTGTGGGCAGAGTGGCGGGAGCAAGCTTGTGCTGTGAAATGGATTGGAATTATGGCAGCAATATGACATGTGTTTGTGGTACTATGTGGGAGGACGTAATACTGTGTAGTGGGTTGCGATATGCATTCAGAAAGGAAGCAAGTGGATGGCCACTGTTTATTCGAGAGCCCAGAAACCGTTGATGTTATTGTATGGCTTGGCAGTACTTCTGTGGGTGCAGGCAGCTGTTGCCAGTGTATTTTCATTCTGCTTGGATGTTGAGCGTCCGGACACCAAACCAGCTGTTGATCAGAACTTCTGCTGGCTGCTCAGGGCACACTGTACGGTTGCTTAACCTTCCTGACTTCGTGGGTGCCGCACTGTCCAAGCTGCTCAAATTGCGTGAGAAAGTGAGCAAAGCTGCCGCACCCATCCAAAGTCTTATGGGTAGTGGCAACGGTGATCAGAGCGATGCCATGTCCAGGCTGAACCTGCTGCTGGATCGCGTGGAGATGGTCAAGATGTTGTTTCAAAATGAGCGGACAACAGAATTCATGATCGCCACCATCCCCACAACTCTGGCTGTCAGGGAGAGTGCCAGGCTGCTATCGGAGCTGAGGAAGCAGAAGATGCCCTGCAAAAGGATACTTGTCAACCAGGTGAGGCTCATTGTGATGGTTTGCTGATCAGATTTCTTGGGGCATCAGCACCAAGTGGACGCAAGTGTTGTGTCTGTATTTTGGCCGGGGGATGTCCAAAGTTGTCGAAGGACGCAAGTCTAATACCTCAATTGTCCAAGACTATCCTCCTGGGTCTTAGTTTACGGTATTAGCTAAGGGTGGCGGGTCTTGGTTTCTCTTTGGCTCTACTTTATTTGCAAAGAGGACAGGGCATGTGGCACTTCGCAGCAAAATTCTGTCAGTACCTGCACCCGACATCCTTTTTGTAGCAGGAAGGGCAGGGATTTGTTATGTCTTGAGAACTGTCATCTCTGTCTACCCTCTTAGTTGCTTCACCAGATCTCATCTGGGTGTGGCATCCTCTACGGAGAATAATGTCAAATAGCAGGCTATTGTTTGTTGCCTTGCTGCGCTCAACAACACCAAGGGAAACCATGTTCCAGTTCTTGGATAGTTGACTATCGCACCAGCAAAGGCCTCCATTATTGTGCGTTGAAGCAACATTGCCGTACTTGCTGCGCTCCAAGCCCCAAACATTTTGCTCAACTTCTGCCATTGGGTGGGGTCCAATTGTAGGCATCGTGCATGTAGTTTGGCAGCCTTCGGGCTCATCTATGCCTTGATACCTCACTGCATCCCATTGTCCATCACCCTTGACTCACAGATAGCTACTGTATGTGACCCTGGCTGATTTATCCAGGTGTGCATGGCAAGCATCCAGGTTCTGGGCTGCTCTCCCCGGAACCCCTATCTCAGACTGTGTAAACAGCTGGAATATCAAGGCAATGAAACTCAAACAACAAAATTGCGTATTATCATTCAACGCTTCTACTCCATTCCCTTGGTCCCTCGCATGCATGTTTTCTTGTTTCTTGTGTTGGTTGTGCTATGTGCTGAACTTGCACCGGTAGCCTCTATCATCTTTTGGAAATTTGAAACACAGCCCCACACATGCTTGCCAAGGGATGGGTGCCCTTTGTTCAGCCTGTGCATTTCCAGTGTGTAACAAATCTTACCCCTGCTCCCTCACAATGTTCGATTCTCCATCACCCTCTGCTCACTCTGTTCACTGATTGTGGTCTTAGCTGATCGGTCCAGGAGCAGGCGACACCTTCCTGCGTATGAAGCTGAAAGACCAGGAACATGCGCTGGCAGACATTGCCGCCAACCCAGCCCTGCACGACCTGCAGCAGATTTATGCGCCCCTCCTGGACCTTGAGGTCCGTGGCCTACCCGCCCTTGCCTACTTTGGGGACCATGTGTGGAAGGAGGCGATAGGGGAGATGAATGCACCACAGGGTCGCAGGTGAGATGTAGCATTGTGCAAAGTAGATAGGGAGAATTCGAGTGAGTTTGTTTCATTCATTGCCAATTCATGGAGCATATGTGTTTGAAGATCTTGATCCCCAATGTGCCTGAAATATTATGCCTGGGAATGTTTTTGAGCTGATACTGTTTTTTGTAGGTTCTGATGGGATTTTTTATTTGAGGTGCACTCAGCAAGCATTTTCAACGAACAGTGATAAAACGAAATTGGAATAGAAACAATAGGTCATACAGGACATGCATAACAAAATGAAACAGTGCACGGAATCATGCCGTCGATGAGCTTGCGCAGGGAGGCAGTGGTTCTCTTCATTTTACAAGCGTGGTCCAACGAATTGTGACAGGTATGTGATGCTGGGGGGCAAGGGCGGTGTGGGCAAGACAAGCATGGCAGCATCACTGGGGGTGCAGTATGCCACAGCTGGTCAGCCAACACTGATCGTGTCCACAGACCCAGCGCACTCCCTGGGTGATGCTTTGGACCAGGTAATGGCTGATGGCAGATGGCAGATTTGATGCCCTTTCCTTTTCCAAGCGAATTTCAGGCCATATTGATGGAAGACCTGGTAGTTGGTGATTTGGCATCTTGTACCTTGTATGGACACTGTACTCAGTATTTAGCACATGTGCCCCCTTGACCGAAATAGTGTCATTGTGACTTGCACCCTTGGACCATTGGTGCAAAGTGTTTGACGCTGAGCCAATGGTTCAAGGCTATTGCACATGTTGAGGAAAAGAAATGTGGAGCCAGGAAGACAGCTGGGCGCAATGTAGCTGTGATTTCACGTGGCTCTGTACACGTGCTGATGCAGCACCCGCTGAGCATTCCTTTATCGATGTGTGCCCCCCTCTCCCGATCAGTTGCTTTCTTTGCGCATACCTAGCAGTAGAGAATGATTCTGCCATCCTGTTGAAAGATGTGCATTTTTGCTTCAGGGCGGGTGGATTTGTCAAACTGCAGTGTTATTTGGTTGCAAAAACTGCCAGCACGAATGTTGTGCCTTGTGCCTTGCCCCTTCTGAGATTGTTCTGCACCAGAAACTTGTCTGTGAGACACATGAAAACACTACAAACGCACATCTGTGGAGGGGGCCTGCACCCAACACCATCTTGTGGTAGCAAGGTAGTGGTTTGTTGTGCAGCGGCAACTGCAATCAGCGTAGAATTTCTCTGCTCCATGATCTGTAAATGGGCTTGCTGGCACAGAATTCAGACCATTTGCCAGGAGGCAAACGGCCATGAAGCGGCGATCCTGTCTGTTCGTGTCCCATTGCTGATATTGCATCTGGCAGGGGCCAATTTCCACAACATGATTTGGTTTCGCTGCCTCAAGACCCCCAGTGCCAACCCATTATCACGCTTAAGGTGCATGTGCAAGTTTTGGACACCCTTCAACAGCTTTCTGAATTTTGGCAATTTCAATAAGGGGTTGACATAGTTGCTCTATCTGGCTCACTTCCATGAAGCGATCAAATGGAGGCAGACAGGTTGCAAGGGAGTACCCTTAGATCGCCTGACTGGTGTTCGATTTGGAGAAAACAACCATAGATGGCTACCATTCACCATGATTGGAATCTGCTGTCTTGGAATGATCTGAATCTGTGAGAATTGTGCATTGGACAAAAGGGATGGGCAAATGCAGCGAACTTTGGAAACATGCTAGGACAAATAATTCAAGGGAGTATGATGTTGACTGTGCATGTATCCCTGTGGTTCTTCACAGGATATCAGCGGAGGCACTCCAGTGCAGCTGGAAGGCACCGACTTGCCCATATGGGGAATGGAGATAGATGTGCAGCAGGCCAGGCAAGAGCTGCGGGAGGCGTTGGCAGGGGAGACTGGAGAGAAGCTGAACCAGGCCCTGGGCTTGGGCGGGGTCCTCACAGAGCAGCTGAAGGACCTCAAACTGGGCGAGCTGCTGGACAACCCGCCTCCTGGGGCTGACGAAGTCGTTGCCATCGCCAAGGTGTGCAAACATGTCCTTCTGCCCCTTCAAAGTGCAAGGGCTGTGTTTTGCCCTTTTTAGGCGACTGCAGTCCAAGACATTCAGTGAAGATGTTCAGAGAGGGAAGTGCATAATTAGGTTATTCAAATGTAGTTAATTGAAGGTTGCAGCACATTGCTACGACTCCTCAGTGCTTTGCCTGATCCATGAATGCTAATCTGCAGCTGTGATATAACTATATGAGATGCCCAGTATATTGTAAAATCTAGTTTGGCACAATGTTGTGGCATTGATTGTTACACTGTTTTAATGGCTATGCTTGGAGCCTGTCTCTTTGCACACCAGCAATGCTTGCCTTCAATTGATGGTGCTTGCTGACTGCACCTTTCTTGATCCTTGCTGGCTGGCTGGCATTGACCACACCTGCCAGCCTGTTCTGTGGAGTATTGCACGCAGCCCACAAGCTGTCATTGCACTTGTCAGTGCCAGAGTTGGTGGTCATGACATGATGGAGCAGAGCATGCAACTGTACAGCGCTTTGCACTTCCCCACGAACCTTACCCAACTTGTGCTGATATGTTCCCTTGCCTGAATGCTGTGAAATTTATGCTTTTGATTTGTCGAAAATTGAGCCACATACACACTTATGCTGCCCAGGTCGTTGAATTCCTCAAGAGGGACGAATTTTCAAGATTCAAGAGGATCATCTTTGACACTGCTCCCACTGGCCACACGCTGCGGCTGCTCACGATGCCCGACTTTGTCGACAAGACCATCGGCAAGATTCTGCGCATTAGGGACACGATTGAGAGGGTGGCCAACACGGTGAAGGGAGTGTTTGGTGCGGAGACAGACACCCAGTATGCGATAGACAAGCTCGCAAAAGTGAAGGTGAGTTCCTGTTCGATCCCAAGATGATGGATCACAGTGCCTCCCTCATCGTCATGGAAGATGAAGAGATGTTCTTTTGCCACCTCGTAAGGAACCATTGGTGGAGTGGGGCTCAGAAAGGGATCGACTGCCGAGTGAAGGTCGCAGGACAATAGAATAAGATAAAAGCAATTGTCTTCTGTTGACCGATCTGCATTGAATATATACACTGGCAAATTTGCATCGTCGTCCCATACCGGTGAATCTCCAAATGTGTCCAGAGCCTCTCTGGGAACGAGGCTTCCCTCCCCAGCGGAGAACCAACTGAACGCTCGCTGTTCGTCCCTGTGTCTAATGGTGTTCATCGCCTGAAATGCTGCCGCAGGCAATTCAGTGTTCAATGCAGAATGTCCCCAGGGGTCGAAGTTGGTGCAGGTCAAGGGGAGCCACAGCGCCCTGGTTGCCCAAACCGCGTTGGTTTAGAACTTACATTGTGGTACTTGGCATCTGCAGCTCTTGCGAAACTGCTGAACGACCACTGCCCCACAGCATGCCTTGCTGCCTCTGTGCTTGCCATGGACACACAAAAGTTAACACACTTGTATACTAATGAATGCTGCTAATATTATGAATGGCTAACAAGTGCTGCCCAACAAATGTGAGGATGTACTCAGTACATCTTCTACCTGCACCCTCTGTACAGGAACATCTCAACAAGATGCTGCGAAAGCACCCCAAGAAACCATTGTTATTGGCAGTTGCGTTCGTCAACTCTAGCTCCCACAGCAGTTCCACTGCTGCGCTGCTGCTGTGCCACCCTGCATGGCCTAAAAGGCGCATGCGCTCCATCTTGCCAGGCATTGACGCCTACACGCACAGCCAACATCCGCAGCGATGCTGCTGTGTACAGAGCTTGGGATCGTTGCCAGGCCCCTCACCTTCACCCTAGACAGGGAATTGATGCAAACGCGACGGCCGTCGGCTTGGCCTTTACATCGCCTTGCACTCTCTCACAGCTGGCACAAGGCCCACACATCTTATGATAGGACGGGAGAACACCTGGGCACTGAAATGCGATGTCGTATTTGGAGACTAAAAGGAGACCATCGACTTGGCATGCAGGCGTACATGGAAGATGCCAAGGAGCTCTTCCACGACAGAACGACGACCGAATTCGTCATCGTGACGATTCCCACGGTCATGGCGGCGGCGGAGAGTGGCAGGCTCGCCGAGGCCCTGACATCGGAGGGCGTGCCCGTCAAGCGCCTGGTGGTGAACCAGGTCCTGCGGCCGAGCACAACGGAAAAGTTCCTTGAGGCCCGCCGCAAAGACCAGGGGCGGGCCCTCAAGCTGCTGCGCGAGGACCCGGGCCTCAGGGAACTGGACGTCGTGGAGGCCCCCCTCGTGGACCTGGAGGTCAGGGGGATAGCAGGGCTGCTGTACTTCGGGAATCAGGTGTGGAAGTGAGCGACGAGGGAGCGGATCTTCGCTGGATCTTCGCTGGGCAGTGGATATTCGCTGTGAGCCACCTCGGTGGTTGCCCTGGGTGGTTTGATGCTGCAGCGCAATAGGTTGGCGGTAAGTTGCTGGTGCGATTGCTCCCGGGCACATGTCCACGCGGTCCTGCACGCAGGCGAAGCTGCGAGCATCTGCGGACAGGGGTTGAGAGGTTGGGATTTACAGTCACGTGAGCCGCATGCCTGGTGCGCTGCCTTGTGCTGGTACTGGCACCGTATTGGCCCAATTGACATCAGACGTCAGAAAGGAAGCTTATGGTGGTGGGGTCGCAGAGGTTGCGGCAGTGGACAGAAACTTCCATGGACGGGTACGGCCGGGAGGGCCTGGCCAGCAACGGCATTGAGGGAGGCTTGCACCTTTCAATGGAGACGCATGTTTGCCATGGTGGACTTGCGGAACTATGTCCTCACATTCCAGGGGTGTGGCGAGACATTGAGGGATTGATGTGATGAGCACAGGGATGGCAACAGTCGCGCCGTTCTCTGTGCACCTGCCGTTGTTTCTCACCGGATTGGGGAACATCAACATGACCAACACGTGCGTTGTCTTTGCTGCCGCCCCTGTCCTGCGTCTCAAATCTCCTCGCCTCCAACGTGCCCAACCATTGAGCAGATTCAGTCCTTTTCACGGCTGCAGAAGCGTTGACGCCCGTGCCAATATCAGCAGACCGCGCAATACCTACCTCCTAACTGGAGCGGTGCGCCCTGATACATGGCTCCACCGATGATTCCATTCTGGACGCAAAAGAAGCTGTTGTAACTAGAACTAATTGAGCATTATTAACAACTGGACCTGATGAGACATTAAGAGTTGTATTAAGGGCATTGATGAACGGACTGGATACAAGGGACGGATGACCTGCCGTCCCTTTGCTCGGCTGCAAACTGTTGGCGTGGACACGAGCCTGCGGTCCCCGTTCAGTGGTCGCCACCCCTCGACCTGCCTGCCTTCGACAGAGCAACGGGTGCAATGGCCACATCCCTTCCAGGAATCACGAGGCAGGGAGGCCCCACCACAGGTTCGCAGCGAGCGCCAATTCGAGCCTGGCCGACGCAAAGTCCATTTGCGCCGGCAGGCTGCACTCACGGCCGTCCAAAAGCGGCACCCAGCTCTTGTGCGGCACACCACTGGCGAAGCCGAAGTCGCAATCGTGACGACAACACCAAGCACAGCTGTGCAGCGAGCGTAGTTGACCATTGCGTTATACACCACCCTTATCTGTGCTTGGCCGCCTTGAAGAGGCCCCCAGCTGGGTACTCTGTGAAAGCATGGGTCATGTATGAGACTCTACATACACACCGCGCCGCCCCCCTTCCCCTGCATCCTCCACAGAAGACGCCCGGCGACAATCGTTTTACGCCCTAGTCTTGAAGCACGTTCATAACAATAGGAAACCGCTGCAGCGGTGTACAAAGACAAAGCTGTCTCTCAGATACAGAAGGTGGGGTTTCTGTGGATTTACGCCACGTCCAACGCTCCAGCCAGCCAGCCAAGTCGCCTGCATAAGAATCTGGCCTAGACTGTCTCCAGAGGAATGCACAAGCGCAACCATCCAACAATACAATCAAACTGCAGTTTACATCCTGCAAAGGGCCAAAAAAAAGGAGAAAAGGAGAAAAAACGTTCCGCCTGTGATAATATATTTCCAGAACATCTACACACGCTCCATTCCTGCGCCCCAGGCTGACGGACGCCCAGGGCTCTGGCCACCCTGTGACTGCTTCCTGCAGCACCAGCAAATGAGTCCACAGGGTGCGCTCATCTGTGGCCCTTGTGCAGGATTGCACCCTGCCCTGCCACTGTCGACACTCCAGCCAGCCACCCCTGCGTCCGCACAGCCTCTGCTGTTCCCGATCCTAGTCTGGTCCTGGTGAACTAGTCTTACTCAGTTGCCTTGCTTCCCATCGCTACCTCTCCCTGCATGAGCAGCTCAGCTCCCCAACCCCAATCAGCACACTGTGGATTCGCCTTCCACATGACAGGCTTGCCAGCCCTGTCTGTCAGTCCCACTGCCACAATGTCTCCACACACCGCTCCTGACTGTCCTGCACCCTTCGGTCCCATTCCCTGACAAGTGCCCCCCACGGACGTTCCAGCAACCCATGCTTCCGCACATTGCAGCGCAGATGCTGGCAGCTCAGTTCTGAGATGTCATTTGAGAGTTACGCGTGTACAGCAACTACCATGGCAAATGCGATGCTGCGCAGATGCTGGCAATTCAGTTCTGAGACGTCGTTTCAGAGTTACGCGTATGCAACGACTACCATGGCAAATGCGATGCAGACAGCTATAAATGCCGCTATGTTGAAGTAGGCTGCCCTTGTGTCTTGGGGATTGTCGGAGATGCACGGCAGTACCCCTCCCAGCGCCCATGGCAAGATGCATACGAACCCACAGGCAAACAAGAGCCAGCCCACAGAATACTCATCCGGGGATTTCTTGTCTTGCATCATGCAGGCATCAACCTCGTCAACGTCGATGACAACATCCTGCAGCACCACAAGAAAGAAATATGAAACGAAAGGGCAAACATTAGTGGTTAGCAACTGGAACAAGACTGTCCAGCCTGGGCATCTCTACTGCATGTCGCCTGGATGGTATGCCTTGATTTCTCACTGGTATCTGCTTCCTGTGTCTCCAATGTAACCCCAGCCTTGTAGGATCCGCCCCTAACTTGTGTTCCGTACCAGTTCGGAAGAAGAGTCACTGCTCCTGAGTGACAATCTTGTGTTCAAGAGTGTCACTAGACTTCAACAAAACCCTGCCTTAGCACCTTCAAGGCAACTGCTGCTGCCTTACAATTCTGTGCAAATGGTTGATTGAATAGGCTGAGTGTGGCAAAATACATCTCCCGCCAGTGTTGTCAGGCATGTGGCTGCGCACAGAATGTCTGGAATGCACCCTCCACAAACATCGATGCCAAAGTGTCCGTTCGTCTCAAAGGCTCCTGAAGGACTTGTTACTGGCTATTGCACAGCACTGGCCCTTGACAGGAATTGAGACAACTCAGGAAACACAAATTCCATACCGTGGGCACCCTTTTTGGGATAATAGTGCACGTTGAGTGAATGAATAATGGTAAATGTCAGAGCACATGATAAGGTCCTTGCCACTGTGAACAACGATCATCAGTTAATTTGCAGTGAGACCCACGTGGCCATATCCAAGGAGATAGCCTGAAACAGTATGCAGCAACAGGACAAAGCACAGAAATGGACTTGTTGACAGGCCAGCCCCCGCTACCTTACAGTAGGCAGAAGCAGAATCCGTATTGCCAAGAATGAACCAGCACCTGAGTTTGTAGGATGAAGGCAGGCAAGCAAGGACATGTTCCTATCTGCACGTTTCGTTTACTGTGTAGCTGGGCAACTCGGAAGCTCCGAGCCCTGCCCCTGCCTTTGGGTTTTCAAATGTTCCCCCAACCCACCGATTCATCGTTTTAACAAGGGAACGTGCATCTGGCAGACGGACCAGGATGGCTAGATTAAATCATGACTCTATTCAGGGCGCCAGTGCAGCATCTATCGAGCAGTCTCACTAGCCAGAGGCTCAAATGCACTCCAATGCACGGTTTTGCAGCGGTGCATGATTCACGCTTCTGTCACTCTTGCCGTCAACGGACCCCACAGTGCTGCACAGCAGAAAAGGGCCCAACCTACTTGCACCAGGACTGCGACCAACGGCTTGTTCTCTGGATTACCAAATGCATCTCCCAAACGCTCATTTATCTTAAAAGAGGGGCTGGGCCCACAGCCTCCCACGCTGTCCCGACACGCCAAACAGCGCAGACGCCTCATTTTTCTCTTCTCCACCCTTTCCAGTTGCCCCCGCCCCCCCTCTTTCGACCCATCGGCCCACCGCCAGCCCCGCGCCTACGGCGAATCCCCACCCGCGCGGAGCTGCCCTCACCTCCCCTCGGGGCGCCACCGACGACCCCGCCCTCCAGTCCCTCTCCAACTCCCTCGGCGCGTCGAGCGGCCCATCCGCCCCCACGATCTCGCCGCCCCTCGCTGCGGAGCTCCCCTCGGCGTGCATCGGCCATCAAACGGCCGCCCGCATGGGCGCCCGCGACACGGCAGCGCCCGGCCCGGCGGCTCAATCGCCTCGGCCCCCAAACTTGGATCCCGACCTCAAAACGGCTGCCGTACGGCGCGGCTGACACCTGGGGGGCACGAAACAGCCAAAGGCGCCGTGGGCAAACGCAGACAAAACCGGTCAACCAAAAACTATTTGGCAATCCTCGTCTTTTGTGCACCTCGCTCGCAATCCGTGAAGGGTGTGGGCGCACCCAACATGATACGACACGACTCTCCGATGGACAGCATGCCAAATTCTTGCGGCGCGCGGAGCAAACGGCGGGTCGCACCTCTGCCGCGCCGTGCCGCCGCCCTGCAACGGGTGCGCTCGGCGGCCGCCGGCGGCCCCCGGCGGCCCCCTGGGACTCGTTTAGCCCCTGGGGTGGGGCAGACTGGGCGCGCGAAGCTCTCCGGGGGCCCTGACGGCTGCCGGCAGGCGTCGGGGGCCATAACGTTGACGGCGTCGCTAATTAGTAGTGCGATCTTCGGGCGAAATCGTACACAATTCGAAGGTTTGTGCAACTCGGTCCCCCAAAGCCAGACCACTGAGAAAGAAGGACAACGGAAACGGCGACAACAAATTCAGCAAAACAAAAAAACCCTGTTTTTGAGAAAAGTGATATATGGTTCAGTACTTTACAGTACTTGCTTGTAGTAATCTGTCCTGAAAGGTCGTTAAAAGCGCCGGCGCACTCGTGTTGTTGGCGCTCCCCAAAATTTGGGCGCCCAGTTGGTGCTGCAGTCCTTTGTGGAAATCTGCAAATTGTGCTTTGGCGGCTGGCTTCACACCCAACGCCATTCCCAAAACAATGCATCGGCTTCGTGTCACCCCTCGGAAAGGGAGCAAGCGTGGGGACCCCCATTGGTGGTGTTCGTCGGTCACCTCCTCTCATATCGTTCTGGCGCTGCAGGCGCTGCACTACTTTCTGGAACGTGCTGCATTCAAACAAGGCGCGGCACACCACGGATGGTCAATTTTGCACATCCTAAGAAGGAACGATCCTCCCTCACCACTTTCCAATTGTCCGAACGCGACAAAGCAACCCGCTGCAAAGGCGCAAATCTCCCCAGCGCCTGCGTGCTGGACCCGTATTCATGCACCATGCCTTCCCTCAGCTACGAACTCTTTGACAGATTTACCGCCGAGACGAGCCCGGTTTGGCAGCGCCCAACGTGAACTCTTTCCCAGGCGTGCCGCCTTCCCACTGTACCCCAGTTCGCTCCAATCTCAAACTTCCTCCTCATTCGCTTCCAGCCCCAACTTTGCAGCCTCCTTCTTGATTGCACTGGCCACGCAGTTGAGCAGCGACATTCGCTGAGCGTCGCCTCTCGGCGCCCTGTGTCGAGCCTCCTTGACGGCCTCAACCGCGCGCTCCACCTCCCCGATGTGCAGGAGGGCCATGGCCGTGGCGGCGTGGGCGTCAGCCGTGCAGAGGCGCCGGCTTGGGGATGCCGCCATGAGGCCGGCGATGTCTTGAAGCATGTCCACCACCTCCATCAGCTGGGAGCGGTTCACAGGCAGGTCCTTGCGCTCGTCGCTCTCCTGCGGCGAAACACGTTTGGGGAAAAGCATTGAACTGATTTTGAAGAGCAGTCAGCGTCAGTCTGCTGGATACGGATTGGGCAAGCGCACATGGACTTTGGTGGCTTGGCAGCGCTTTTGTTATGGACTAAAGGTTTATAACGATAGATAGAGAGCTGTCCAATATGTGTCATGCTTCTATGCTGTTTCTAGAGCATTTCGCGAAGTGGCACACGATCGTGTAGTATCCGGCATCGCCAGAAGTCCTTAAAATCCGTTGCCGTTTGATTTTGAGCAAGATGAAATTAAAATTGGGTTTAGTGCAGTACTAATTTTATTTCCGTGTGTGTTTCTGATGGCATACTGCATGCGCTCCAGTGCAGCTGCTGCCAGTCCTCAGGATCTTGGCCAGGTCTTTCGAAACCTGTGATTGAGGGCGTGCAATTTCCTCCTGTTCACGTTGGCGCAGCGGCGATGTGCTCGCCGTTATGGTGCACTTGTTCAAATGGGCGAATACGGGAAGGGCATCATTGTATATTCTCACACGAAGTTCGTAAATAATTCCAAGAATGGCAGAAGAAAGGTAAGAATCACTTGGAAAGGGATAACTTGGAGGCGCGCAAATGCCGTCCAACAGTTATTTTCAAAAAACATTGCCAGCACTTCCTCATTAGATCGTATTTGAATCCATAGGAAGTAACCAGCACTGGGCGCAGCCTCTATGTCATTTGGCTAGGAACGTACATGAAAACTGATTGGCAACAACAATAGCAACCGCACCTCCAAAACGGCTAGCCTCAACGAGATCACCCAAATCTCCACTACCCGATCGAAGCACGCCAGAGCCCTCTCCAGACGCCCCGCGGCCTGGAACACCTTCCCTAAATTGTAGTATCCAAGAGAAGTCCTGGGCTCATCCGTCCCGTACTCCAAAGAGCAATGATACACATCCTTGGCAAAGGCCTGCAGCAGCCAAGGATTTGCAATTGCCGACATACCACACGTCGCTGCCCTTTCTCGCGCTGGTATCTGTACGGCGTCGGCCACAAGCAGCTCTCGACGATATGATAATGTGATGCAAGACTTCGGAATAAACAAATTGAAAATGGCACCACAATTTTGGTGCACAGGATGCGGTCTTGCACGAGATTGGGTCCTAACAATTTCCCACTAAATCGTCGAATCCACGATATCTTCGACTGGATACGATGTATGCACGGGTGTAAATGGTGTAAGCACTGGCAAAAAAAGCCAAATAACCCTTTTTTCAAACACATATATATGCATTTTATCAGTGTTCTGCCTGCTATAACACGGAAATAACACAAACCCGTAAAATTTTCACATTTTAACACATGTTGTTTGGCCCCTTTTTCCCTAGTGAAGGCTGTTAGCGCATTGCTCGTACTGGGCCCCAAAAATACAAGGAAAGTTGCGTGAAAATCCTTTGGTTAATGCATTATCCCTAAAAGGGGACAAATTTTCCTAAAATTTGACAGAGCTTTAATAACGCATGTCTGCAAACTATTACGGTGATGTATTGCGACCATGTTTCCCGAACTATGCCGTCTCCTTTGATCCCGTTTCTCACTGCACAGCCCGAAGTGCTGTCGGTGCATGGCAGATGACAATAAGGGAATCAGACTTCTCTTTGCAAAGCAGTGGACTGGCCCATCCGAGAATGCTTGGAAACGATAGAATGAGAGTGTATGCGAGAATCTTGTTGGCAACAGAATGGTGACTGAGGTCGTAGATGCCCACTCGCCTGGAGCGCGTCGTCGTAGTTTTGTTGCGCGGCATAGAGCTGGCCGTACAGCCGGTTGAGCTGCGACTTCATGACATTGGTTGTGAGGCCCGGCTCCCTCATGGCGAGCCAGGACGCCATGCTCAGGAACTCGCCACATTTCTTGGTCCGCCTGAGTCCCAGGTTCGCCTGTTCCGGTGGAAATCACAAAACGTCTCTTCGGGGACTTGAAGCAGCGCAGAGCAGCCCATTCCGCGCGGTATGGACAAGTTTCGGATGTGATTCTTGCTGCTGAAAACTTTGCGTCTGTCCTTTAAGCTCACTTAGAGTCAACAGGGAAATTTATGTGCATCCGTGAATCATGTCCCAGATCCAGAACCGCCTTGGCTTCCTGAAATCACGAAACACGAGGTTGTGTGCTGACTTTGCGCATGTCTTGGGTGCAAATCACGAACACCGTAGCATCTTGCATTGAAGTATAGATCCCTGTCAGCATTTGACTCGTGTACTTTATTTCATTGAAGAGCGGGCCAAGGACTTGAAACTGTTTGGTTTAACCGTGCAAAATATTCGTGCTTTTCACGAACCGATCTAATCCCCAATGGTGATATGCAAAAATTGAGTTGCTCAGAAGGGTATATCCAGAAAACTTGTTCTCCGTAACTAGCCTAAGATTTCTTCAGGCGTCCTCAGGGCAACAGTTGAACTAAATCTATGTGTTACTTCATTCATCTGAGAGATTTACATGTTTCCTTGTGGTACTGGCTCGATCGTTCATAGTGATGCTTACAGTTGCAAAACTGCTAAGAATGCTACTCGAAAGTACCATTGTACTGTGCGCATCAATAGCAGGTGTTCTCATACCGCGAAATATTCAACACATTTGCGTATCAACGCAACATTTGGCCATTTTTGCGGATAGAAACAAATAAAATTCCTGCGATGAAACTTAAATGAAGTAATAGCGCTTTGGCGAGATGCCCAGCCAAAAGCTTAACGTTCGTTTTCAGATGCGGAAACGTCGACTGCACCAACCTGAGCGACGAGAAGATACAACGGAAACACCTGCAAGGCGGGGGCAGGCTTGAAAACCGCCTGCCCCTTTCTCACGGCTTCCAGGGCCACAGGTAGGGCGAGGTCATAGTCGCCAGCCGCAATGAGCCGGGCAGCTTCCTGTGGACGCAACGATGACAGGGCAAGGCGGGTGTGGTTTCATTTGTCCCCAGAGATAATGCTCCTGCGTCCCTCTGGATGGCTTGTTCTTCCATGTGAACAATGCACTGGCGGGTAGTGATACCAGCGCCACTTGCACCCCAAATGCACGTCAAAGTCCTCATTCAACAAGTGTCGATCAAGCATGGTTCACCCCAATAATATGATGCTTAAATCACCGAAAAGTTTTGAGAGCTTAATTTTTGCGGTTCAAACGGGGACCGAGTTTGGCAACGGCGGGCAACTTTCGACCTGTGTTTCGCGCATTGCACACAATCTAAGTGTCTGACACCCTTTCGGCCAAGCGCACTGCTGGCATATTGCACTATCAACATACTATGTCTGTTAGACAGTGGAGCACACAGCCAGTATTCTCATCTGCACTTCCCGTCCTCCCTCCCACCACCCGCAGAATTTGTCCTCTCAGCGCAATTTTATTCCGTGTATGCCCTTGCCAATTCGATGAAAAATCGCATATCAGTTGGAAAACCGAGTCAGAAATGGACACAGTAATCGTGCTTCTGTCTCCGATACTCCCAGTGGACGCTACCTGCGAGTCCACCTTCAGCAGAGCGAGCTTGAATGGTTGAACCAGCTCAAGCCTGCGCTTGTCCTGGAGCAGCCTCTCCACAACGTCGGTTGTGATGACGGTGATCGACGGGGCCGGGCCATCCGTTATGGAGCTGTCCGCCGGAATGCACAGCTGCGACACCGTGTGCAGAACGTCCACGTCGGTCGTCTTAACCTTGGGGTACTTGCCCCGGCGGATTTCCTGGAAAATAGAGATTAACATTTTTCCCCAGAACGACATGTCTCGCTTCAAGGGTGTTGATGTGTGGACAGCACATCGAAATTACGAATTTCTGCTTGGGGTTTGGGCAAGCCAAATTTGGATCACAGCTGCTTGCACACCTCTAGCACATCCTCTTTACATGCTGCAGGAGATGTTGTGGTTGCTGGCATAGGTCCACGTTAGGTTGGAAATCCTGATGCGTTTTTCTTTCCATGGGGATTGCGCATGCCTGCTGCAACACTTTCGAAGTGATCTACCCCATTATAGACATGTCGCATATGTGTCAGAAATTGGTACTTGCCCAAAACACGTGCCACCATGGTAACAAGATATCATGGCGTCTAGTGAATTGATGCCACGGTGAATATAGCTTGGCTTTGCCGTTACAAGGAGCTCTTCAGAATTTTTGCAACTGTATATTTGCATACATGGGGCACATATGTCGCATATATACCGCCACCATCACGGAAAGTGCCCCTTTGCATGTACTTCCGCCGTCTCAAAATGCTTGGCAGTTACAATATTGGGTCTGATAAAACCCCATAACAACATCCTCAACAGAACTAAAACTTTGATCAGATATAATTTGGACCATTCACAACACTTGAAATGATCCATGGAAAGTTTTTGGTGAGTTATGTTCGAGCATGAGTCATCATTAGCAAACGTTGATAATTTTCAACTTTTTCATCCCAAAGAGGATGAGATTTATGGCAAGCAAGCCAATTGTCGCCATGGAAAAATAGCGCCCAAATTTCTACCAGATATTGTAATTTATGTGGATCTTGATCTACGAGATTTTTAGCTCAGTCGGCTAAGTATTGAGGGAGATATGGCGCGCCATATAGGGGCATGTTGGACCAAATTCCCAGGTGGCCCTAAACGGCCCCTAAACATGGTGAATTCGAGCCCTCTCTACTTGGTGGAGAAGCGAGGGAGGTACACACGCTTAGGAACGCAGATCGGAGCAAAGCTAGAGAGGTGCGAGCCGGGATGTTGGCGCCTGCTAAATTGTGCAATTTCGGCAAAATTGCCTATCTTTGCGCCACAACGAGACCTGGACGACATTGGCTTAACTTGTCCGTGTCGGAGGCATCACATCTCCCCAAATGCTCAGCCGATTGATCCAAAAATTTGGTGTGTCGAAATGGACACAGACTTCAACATCTTGGCAAAATCTGATCGTTGCTGGAGGAGATGTTTTGATGGAATTTTCCAAGGCCCCAAGTCATAACTGCCAAATTTGGGGATGGAGGGAGTATTTTGGAGGTGGTTTCCCACCTTCTTTACACCAGCAGTCAAGACCAAAAAACATGCAAAAAGGTGCTGAGCAAGGATAGAATGTTTGTGCTGACTAACGCAGCAACGTCATGAATCAATCATGAGTGTGGTTTTCTGCGATGCTAGCACCACGTGCGGCGTTCGTCTAAACGAGGAAGGAGAAAAGCGGACGATTGCAGTAAGAAAAAATGTTTCGAAAATACCTCTAACGCTGCATGACTCAGCTCCATTTAGGCATCTCACTCAATCGAAAATTTTGGCTGAACTTTTTACACAGTGACATTGCGCAGGCCTTGCATATGGTGGATAATTATCGGCGTGGTTATTATATTATCACACCTTGTCGCCTTGTCGCCTTGTCTTCACGCTGTGCGAAGACAAGCGATTTCTCGGTCCAATTCCAACAAATAATACGCTATAGATGCACGCCTTTCTAAGCTTCTTCATTGCTTAAGCGCGCCGCCCTTGGTCGGTTTTTGTGGAACAGAAAATGTATGCAATGGGCATTTCCCGATAATTGGGCAACAGAGATGCAGATGTCGCATGTGCCTCCAATGCAATGCAGCTATCTTACCCTCAGGAATGATCCAGGCGACTCCTGAAACAGCTCGACAGCGACTTCGCCAGCGCTGAACACCTGCTCAGGAGTTCACAAGATTGCGCCGCACCGGCGCCCCATTACGGATGGTCAGCATTGAGATGCATGTCAGTCCGACGTCGATTTTGTTCGCAAGGCGCTCGTGCGACGGAAAACGGATTAATCCATGTGAACCGCTAAATAGAATATTGTCGCAATCGGAAATGAATCTTCGCTGATTGCTTCTGGGACTCGATGTTGAGCAGCCCGCCAGTGAAGTGCATGGAGCGCAGATCGTCCAAGACAGCTTCCCGGCAGGTCGCGAGGGCCCCGCGCACAGATGACGCGCCCAAGTCTAGCGGAAAATCAGCATTTGAATTTGGTCTATTTGGCTGCCACTTTGTCTTCAGGTTAGGCGAAAATGTGCGGGCACTCGCTGCCACAAAATAACTACCTCACGATTCTTTCACAGTTTCAGAGTGAAGTATTTCCCGTCCGAAGATCTTGTTAAATTGCTCTTGTCATTTTCACCAGCAGTTTGTGTACCGATGCACTGAACTGGTTGGTTGTAATCGAGCACTGCTCCAGGGCAGTCACCCGGCTGTTGAAACCGCACAGTGCAACCCATCCTCCATCAAATGACATCGTCATTCGGCAAAATGCTCCTTGCACTGGGCCACGCCCGACCGCACGACGGCCCAATCTTGCCGCTCACGGATTCCCCTAACACGATAACAGCTCAACACACACTTGTTGAAGTGCATTTGAAAGTGTATTTGAAAGTGTGTCATGAGACTGTAATATGAAGTGTATGTATAATGAAAATGTATTGTCAAAGTGTATTTTAACATGTATTTGCAACGCCGCCCATGCGCGATCGCTGCAAAACTGCTGTGCCTCGCGCCTCCCCTACCTTTCCATGCGGGGAGCTTATTTGGTGCACCCGCGAGTCGCCAAGGACGAACACCGTGTAGGGCAGAACCACCGCCATGGCTGGCCCTCCGCCGCGGCTCAAAGGCCCAGCCCGTCACCAACAAGGCGCCCCTTCCGGAAACTTCCGCGTCAGCGCCGGGCGGCGCCCGCCAGCCCGGCGAGCCGCTGTGGCCATCCAGGTGCTCGGCCACCCATTTTGCTGACTCGCTCATTTTCATCGTATTTGGTTTACGTAAACCCAGCACGCGCACCGAAACAAGGTCTGGGATTTCAGCGGGAAAGACTCGGGGAGAGTGGAAATGAGCGCCAGGTGGAGTTCACAGGATTGAGGCCACCAGGGTTGTCTCCGGATTGCATTGTCGCGGGCGTGCCAGCGACCGCAATGCGTTGCTCGGAGCGTCGGTGAGTCTTGCATCGTCGGGCGAACGCCCGCCAAATTCTGGATGGCCGTTTGTGCGTTCGTGGGGCCTGCCGAGCGTCAAGGGCAGCGACTCGGGGTGTGGCTGAAAGAAGGGCGGTGCCGAAAATGAGTGCCGTTGGGTGACGGACGGCCTGGGATGATCGTTGGGGCCGGGACTGTGGAGAAATGGACGAGGTAGGGGCGTGCAGAAGGGGATTCGTGGGGTCGTATGTGGGAGGCAGGAAGCCACGGACTGAGTTTGCCCAACAGGTCAGAAAAATGTTGTGCTCTTTTAGCTGTGTTCAATTTTCGAAGTTGCATACGCAACCCTTGCACGTGTGAGGTCTTATTTGGCACATGGCTGTGGGCAAAGCGTCTTGGACGCGATCTGTGGCGAGGGCAAAGCTCAAAAGGTCCAACGGCAGAAAGGCGCCCCTGCATCTGGCAAGCTGTGTTGGGTACAGCGGAGAGCAGCGGCCATCGAATTGTCTTCTGTTGCGGGGTTGTGAGCCAGGGCATTCGTTGCATCAGGCACACGGGCTGTGCATGCCTTGATTGAACTGTTTCAGAAAGTTCGATGAAATTCCAGCATGATCACCTATCACAGGGCAAGCAATGCTCCCAAGTGTGGAGCGCAGGTTGCCGCCTTTGGACGGATAGTTGGCTGCCATCAACCAGGGTGAAGTTGATATGGCTCAAAACGAGGAGATACAATGCACGACAGATCTCAATTGGCCAGCCTCAGGTACAGAAAGTTTCATCTGCAGGAACCACATCAACTGGTGAAGCTGCGCGCACCCTCTGCAACTGGATGCCAGATGCACACATGTCACTGGCCGCACCAGCACTGAACCTTGGCCTGAGTCGTCATGTGTATAGTATTGTGGTTGAGTCAGGTGCAACAAAGAAAAACTTGAATCATTGTGTGCTGTGGTGCAGCAACCTGCGGGCAAACTTGGCTTCCGGTGGAAAGGAAATCCTGAAAGAAGAATGAAAAGCCGGGAGAAACTGCTATGTGGGGTTCTCTTGCTGGGCACCCATTATGGAGCCTAGCGTCCTGTTCTGGGTCCCTTGTGCTGCAATAATTGCCTGATAATTGCTGGATCAGTAGTGTAGTCTGGAGTAGGTGCCATTCAGTAAAATTGACTATGGAAATAGGGAGCCTCAGCGATGAAATTACAACTGATATGCACGTGTGCAGCTCCCACAACAATTGTCCCAAACCCATCAATGGGATGGTTTGAGTATGAAAGTTTTTATGCAAGTGAGTGGGAAGTCGAAACCTTGGCAACCACAAGGATGCTGTGGCCACATTTTGATATTCAGCGGTGACTCACCTGATGTTTGTGTTCACCAGTGACAAATCTGCCAATCCGTTTATGAGTAAGCAGCAATCGGCAAACCTACGGACAAGGAAGAAAGGTTTGTTTGCTTCTATTTGGCATTCTAAGCAGCAGTGCATAGGGGATGGCCTTCCTGTGCATCGGCTTTTCTTGAAGTGAAACATCAATATTTATGTTCTTGCATGCAGCGTCTTGTTCACTTTCAGGTCTTGCTGCCCACTTGCTTTTGCCTGATGGTCAAATGCCTCTACACATCAGGTGTACCACCCTGACATGTCAAGGCAAGCATTGCAGCTGTTTCTTGTGCATTCCCCCAACCCATGTCTGTCCATTGTGGTAAGTGAGGACTGCAACATGCCAGTGATCAGTTGGCCATGTGGCTGCTGTCGGTTGGTTATGTGGGACGTGGGTCAATGCATCAGAACGGCTTCATGCAGTGACCAACTGGAGAAGGAGCCCGAAATGTTGAAGTGCCCGAAGGCTTATGGGCAAGTCCCAGAGCAGGGCTGTGGTGATATTGCCAAAGTGACAATCACCACTGTGCTAGTTTGGAAGCATTCAGATATATTGGCGTGGCTTCAATGGGTGTTGTTGTTGGTGCGGGAAGTTTTCCAAGTGGGTGCAGTGTGCACGGTATGTGATAAGCGTGTGGTGGGATCAGCGCTCAATTTAAGACTGCATTGGGGCTCATTTTGCCATTCGTCCTCTGTTCCGTGTCTCCTCCTGCAATGCTCTGTGGCTTCATCCTTTCAAGATCTACCAAGCTTTCAAGCACCGTGCTTCGGTGCTTCCGTGCAACATTAGCATCGGGTTTTGCGTTCTGTTTTACCAGCGGGAGCGCGGAAATGGAGTGTGTTGAATTTTCCACGGCCCTGCCGCTCTGTTGTTGATGCGTTAGCCTGGCATTATGAAATTGTATCTTAGGGTGCGTATTCATTGTTTCGTGGGTTAATTGTCGATTGCTGCGATGATTAAACGCACAAATATTTGTGCACGGTGTCGGCTACGGATTTGGAGGCTTTAGACCCTCCGCCTATCTCATGCACCTTTGCTTGATATCTTCGTCAACCTCTCCGGACATTCCATGGGAATTCCCATTCGCTTGCCTAGTATGTAGTAAGAAAGTGGTCTTCCTGAACCGCCCCCGGCAAGACTTGAAGGCGTCCATCCTGGTGCAAGTGTGCCTGAACTCCTTCACATGCCAGCTTCACGTCTGCGTGAGACACTTCACGCGTGCGCCAACTGCTGCGCTCCTGCAACTCTTGCTCACACGTTGGCTGCCATTTCAAGATCCCAGCCTCTAAGCTGTCAGGCACGCAATCAAGGGCTGGTGCGCGCGCAACAGCACGAAGCAGGGCAAACCGAGCTCAGCTCGCTGCAAACATGAAACACGTCCTGACAGAATGGACTATGCTATCAACACTCTATGGAGAGAAATGTACTTCAGCCGGTGACAACTGTCCCGTTGCGGGCTGCGGCATAGCAGTGAGTCTCGGGAGCGGTTAGGTTCGCGAAAGGGGTGGGTTTGCGGCTGTTACGATGCTACCCCCAGATTGCCAAATTGTGGCGTACAACAGGTCGCATGCCTATGACTGGCATGTGCTGGCAGTAAGAACGCCTTCAGACCCGTGACAATTGCTGTGCCGGCCGTGCCACGGCCCCATTTGGCGGAGAAGGCGATCCGACTGGAAGGCATCCGGATTGGCGATGTGGGGGCTTTTGCACCAGCACATGAAGTTGTTTCTTCCTCCATTACTTGCAAGTGATGCAAGCAATTGCTTGTCCCCAGCTTTGCGCACCCTCAGTCACGCATACATGTTGGATGCATATTACACACCCACGTTCCACGTTGTTGACTTGTGCTTCATAGGCAGGCAACGTCGAAAGTGACCCTGCCATGCATGTCACCAATGTCAATGCTCGTACGCACTGAACACGTTGCGAACCTTCTACGCTCCGCCAGGGGGGGGCATGGGGCAATTAAAAATTTTAAATTAAATGTGCCATTGATCTGCTACATTGAATCTGTCTTTTGGTGCCGCCGCTCTGCTGAACGCACATCTCCGTTGGCACCAACTACACTTCTTGAGACATGCGCAATCACCATTAGAGAACAGCCTGTTTGCGATGCCAATTGCGACTCCATTTGACACAAATTGATGTCATCACAGCACTTTTATGCCATCGCAATCACTGTGACGGCATCGCTTTGTGTCAAAATAGCATCGCAGTTGGCATCGCAGACATGCCGTTTTCTACCAGTGAATGGTATCATTGACTTGACATACAATGGGAATTTGTGATTGGGAACTACGCAAGCAACCACGTCAAGCACACTTCACAGAAGCGTTCCTAATTGGTTCTTTCGCGAGGACCCTACAGCGACGGCCTAATGTCGTGGTCTCTTCCTATGCAAGCTTGAGGTACTCACATGCATGTGAATTCAACAAAATTCAAGTCCAGATTGCGATCGAGGTGAAAGAGCGGTGCTGTGCAGCTGTACGGGTCAAAGAAATGGACATACGGACATTCGCTGCTGCAAAACTTACTGGATTGCATTCTCAAAAGACATCAAAAGCAACCATGATCACCTCACAGGCGACAAGGGGCCCAGGACTAGGAAACTGTTGTAAATATTAAATTTGACGCAATATTCTGGACAGCCAAATTCAGTGCCATCTGTTTCGTGTGCTCACAGTTCCGGACACCGCCCATCTCCACGACGTTAAAGCGGCAGTAGAAAGCCTACAGTCACGTTCAAGAAATATTTCAGGGGAAATAATGTTAAACATGAATCCCAACATAGTCTCGGGTGCAGGCAGTTCAGAAGATTTTGAGAAAGCTGAACCTTTGCGTTCAGGCTTGTCTTCTACGGTCAGGTTTACGTTTTTACGTTTACGTTTTTACGTGCAAGAACGCAAATTTGCGAAAGTAGCAATTTTTGCGGCTATGTTTACTTTTTCGCGGCTGTGTTTATGTTTTTGCCGCTCGCTAGCAAGGCAGAATTCGACCATTTCACACGGTGTGCAATCGTGTGAAATCGTGTTAGAATCGTGTAGAAATCGGGTATTTGGGAGCACGATTTTGCACGATTGTTAAAATCGTGCAGTTTTCAGCCCTGTGTAGTACACGAAAGTGGTCCACCTTATCACCATGGACAACGCGATAAATAACACAATTTTACACGATTCCAACCGTGTACCAGCAGCAGCCGTCTATTTTGTGATCAGTACACGATGTTTACACGATGTTCACACGAATTTTACACCACTTTTCCACGCATAACATTGTACACGGTTTTCAGGACCGTGTACTTTGGACAGTTTTTTACCCGTGGCTGGGACAGACAGGTTACGCGATGAAAGCTGCATACAATGATCAGTCCTCCGCCATCTCCAGCACCCACAACACAGAGCCCACCTTGCCCTCGGCAAGGGCAACAACGGCACGGAACAAAATTTCTTTTTCTACCCATTCTAGCGCGTCTGACTGACACTCCCCGGAATCCCCCAATCTGTGCGTACTGTCCTTATATGTATGTACGTGTATACACGAGGCTATATTTACGTTGTATTTACGTATTTCTACGCCCTTTTACGCGCTGAAATGTAAAAACTGTATTTGCGTGTGAAAACGCAAATACTTTCAGTTTTTACGGAGCAGAAATCAAATCTGGGGACGCCAGCCCAAGCACTGGAAACATTGCACACTTTTCCCACTGTGCTCGTGCATTGCTGAGATGGGATAAGTGAACATTCGCAGCTATTTTACAAGTCGAATGCTCTAAACTCGGCTAGTGGAAGGGCACCGTGCAACGCTAACAACGGCCTCCGCCATTTTTCCACCATTACCGAGCTACAGTTGCCTAGTTGAGAACCAATGTGCCCCTTGGTCGCCAGACGCATTCAACTATTTACATCAGCAAAAAAGGACCAAATAACACTTTCTAGAACATAAAAAACAAATCTCATCAAAGTTCTGCACGCCAAGAACAGGAAAATAACACAAACCCGTCACCTTTGTACATGTGTAAACACGTGTTATTTGGCCCTTTTTTCCCAGTGTTAATGATTCCACGCTGCTGGCAGGGAGAATGGACGATCGCCAGCATTTTGACAACTTCCATGGAGAATTGGCGACATAGCGCTGGCACAATACAGGCAAGAAGAAGCCGCGAGGGCTCGATGGGTCGCGAGTGGAAATAACCTGATGGATACACACAACCACAAGCTTGTGGCTTGGCCTTAAGGCGTTCGCGAACAGATCAAACAGTTGAGATAGTTTCCGGAGCAGCGCGGCAGACACAGTTCAACCAGCCAGCTCGCTGTCTCGAGACACATCCATGCGCCGTGCAAAGAAAAAAAGGCCAGGACTTGTCACGTCATAACATGACAAACCCCCGCCCTTTGCCGCCATGGCAGCAACGCGTCGACGGCAGTATCCTACCCTTCTAGCGCCTTGTCACTTCAACGGCCGCTGAACCCAAGGCTTGGCACTGTCATCACCCGCCTGGCTTCCGTGCTGGGCACGGCACCCATTACACGTCACTGTCCACCCCGACAATAGATAGGAAGCGCCCACGCCAACGGAGCCGCCCAAATGCGGCGATCTTGCCACGGCTCTTGAGAAGCGCCGGCCATGGGCGGCGAATCGCCATCTCGCAGTGCGCGCAAGCGCCTCAAGCGCTTCCACCAACGCGAGGAGCTCACCGACCGCATTCGAAACACACTCGAGGACTACAACTGCGACAGCTGGAGCGCCAGCGGCATCGCGCAGGAGTTCTTAGCCAACGCGGACGACGCGGGGGCCTCCGAATTTGTTCTCGTGTACGATGAGAGCACCTACGGCACTTCCAAGCTGCTGTTCCCGGGCCTGGGGGACTGGCAGGGGCCGGCCCTGTGCTTTTACAACGACGCGTGCTTCACGGAAGGGGACTGGGAAGGCATCTCGAACGTCGGGATCAGCCAGAAGCGGGAGGACGACGGGAAGATCGGTCGCTTCGGCCTGGGAGCCCTGACGGGGTGCGTGAGGCTGTCGCTCTGCCCAACGCTACGCGGGCGTCGCGGCTGAACGGCGAACATGTGGGTAGCTGCAACGGCGATCCGAGCGCTGTTCGGAGGTCTTGCTCGATGTGGCTGTGGGTCGGTGTAATTTTCAGCGACAGCGCCACAAAAGACATTCATTAATTTCAACAAATTTGCAAATCACGACTTGTGCAGTCATTTTGTACTACAATCTCCACCATCGCGCGTTCGCCAAGTTATCCATGCCTGATTGCAAAGCAGCAATGTACTCCAGATCTAAATGCTGTGGAACTGTCATGTTTTGGAAGAGCTGCAGAAGAGCTCAACCATTCTCCACCTCTTGGTCCCGCCTTACTCGCATCCTTTTGCAGCGTGGTACCCATTTCACCGTGTTGTGCCAGGTACTGCTGCACTGACGTGATCCAGATTGCATCGGGAAGCGCGATCGATTTCCTTGACCCTCATGCGATGTATCTGGATGGCGAGCCTGGGGTGCAGCTGAACTTGCAAGAGAGCTGCATCGACTCCACGACGGACGACATTTCAGATCAACTGGACGCCCTGAATGTCCTCGGCACGCTCCAGGTGACTTCCGTTGCAAGTTTCCGCTGTCAGTTTTCGCGTAATGGGTATATGTCCCCGGCGGACAGCTTGACAAGTGCATGACCAGCGCAGCGTGACTGAATGGCGCTTGTCGCCTCTACGACGAACGCGGATAGTTTCGGAACTCTTGAGCGGCGCGATGACCACATTTTCTGTGCATCATTGTGCAGGAGTCAGTGGCTTTCGAGGGAACATTATTTCGTCTCCCCTTGAGGAATGAGAAGACTTGCGGCGTCTCCAGAATATCAAGCGCTGAGGTCGAGAGAAGCAAAATCAATCATCTGCTGTCCGATTTTGCCATGGCGGCAAAGGACATGATCGTATTCACTCGGAATGTGAAAGCCATCAAGATTTGCAGGAAATCCAGGAACGGAGAGCCTTCGGTGCTTATGCACGTCAAGGTAAGTTGCCATAGCCAGCGTGACAGAAATGTATCTAATGACCGCTTGTCAGCAAAGAGAGACATGTCCCGTTCTGCTGCCATTGTGTACCCATCGGCGCAGTGGTCGATATGGTTCCTGACCGAACAAATCCATTTCCTGTGGCATCCTTTGGCCGAATTCACAGTGTGTGAACCACCGGGATTTGCTTCATGCTTATACCTATTTCGCTTACATAGCAATCAACAATGCGGTATGCTGCGAATTTTACAAGTAAGCATCCAACTGCATGATTCTGAGCTCGGCGTTTACGCCAAAAAAATGACCTGGATCTGCCATGCGATTTGGCAAATGGCTTGGTCAAGGAACTTAACATGCAGCATGCCGTATTGAGAGTCGCATGTATGCCGTTTCAGAAATCGTCGGTTCCACGGGAGGACACCAACCTTCAGCCCTCCCACGAGGCGAAAATTGTAACCATCTCCGTTGAGTCGTTTGGATGTTGTTCCATTGAAGAGCCTGCCAACGTGGATTTTGAAACGATCAGGGAGAGGTCAGACGAAGAATGGATGGTTGTTTCAATCAAAGCGGAAGCGGTAAGTGCGGCATTAAATGGTACCATCAGTAACTGCGATGCAAGAAAGGAACGCCATGAGTCATTTCGTCCATTTTCATGATATTTGCTCGTAAAGAAATCCCCATTTTATATATCTGCCTGTGAGTCACTTCATGCCGTTTTTGCGCTTCAGACCTCTATTAATACTATCTCTGTTTCGTTGGTAATGTTCGATTTCAACTTTGCCCAAACGGAGGTCATAACGCGCGAGTCTGAAAAATTGACCGAAGCACCTTCAAAGCTCCACACCAATAGCTATTCGCAAAGCCCTCAAAAGTTCCAAATGATGCTGCCGTACTTGCGATATGTTAAGAGGAGCTGAAACATGATTTTCACTTTTCCCGGGAATTGAATGGAATGCAACATGTATTCCTTGCCCTTAAAAAGAGCTAGATTGATCCGATCTATCACAAGGAGGCTTGCGTGCTTTGGTGGTTTGATGCTCACTGAAGATCCGCTTGAACCAAAGTGAATCTGCAAGGAAAACGATTTGGGTTCGCCGCAAAATTTGTGGTAGTAACAAGAACTGCGTGCAAGTAATGGTGGAAGGCCAAGAGACGCCTTGATCGTTGCAAGAGCATCTATTTTTCAGATGTGCCAAGGTTTCTAAGGCCGCTTGCACCCGCCATAACCTACAAAACTCCCTAGATTGAAGCAAACGCGGTCAGTTGTTGTAAGCAACAATGTTGGCAGCACAATTCTGCCTCCTGGAAGAGATGATCTCCCGAAATTGCGATAGAAATGGTGTCAAATCTCAAAAGGGTATAGTACTTGCGTGTTGTCTACAGTTCTCAATGAATTTTGGTGCTTTGGGTTGGGACATACCGGAATATGGCGAGTGAAACAATATGGGGAATGCAGTTCCTGCATGGAATTGAACAGGTGCGTTATTAAAAAGTTTGTCAAGTACCATGTTGTATGGTGGTGGCTAACATAGAAAGATTCGCATGAAGTTCAAATCAACCAAAGCATCCAAATATGGTGGCATGTTCATTGATTGAGTTCATATTGCCAATTTCTAGTAAGAATTTGAGATCAGACACGACTTATGAATCGGAGGTAGTTTTTGAGAGCAGGTATGAAGATTGGTATGCTTTTGTATTGCGTCGATTGCCGCTCGCCAATTCAATCAACGATCTGTGGTGAATCGCATAGCATTGCTTGTTGCCTCCGTGCATGACGACATAGGTGCAAATACAGTCATTGTTTCGCAGAAGATCTGCAAAATCAAGAAAAATATATGACGATGGGGAAATTTCAAAAGTATCATGTCACGATACTTGGTCGCTGACCAAGGGATACTCTTTGCGCAATATCAGAATTCTTCCCCAGTCGCGGAAACGGCAGCGAAGACCCGGGAAGTTATCTGGAGAGATGGCGGAGAGACGCTTGTGGATTCGCCGTTTCCAGAGCTGCAAGGCGGTGGCTTGGTTTACTGTTTCATGCCGCTTCCATTCCGCAACACTGGTCTGCCAATACACATCAACGGGAAGTTTCGATTGCAATCCAACAGGAGGCATCTGTGGACAGGTTCGCCAGCGCGATTGCTTCAAAATGCATGGCTACGCTCATCTTGCAGCCACCATTCAAGGACAGCAGTATTTCCCATGCAGTAAAGATGATTTGCAGTACCATAATATGTCACGAGCGCAACATCACGAGGATTTCACAGAGCCTGTTGTTCACTTTTTATGATTTCCAAGATGCCAGTAAACTTTTCCATAGTCGCGTACGCAAAAGGGAGACACATATCACGGGATATGACATGGACATACGCAAAGCTACGCATCGTTTGGCCATGATTTTGCCTGCATATATAATGTCGAGTTCTGGAATTAAAAATCTACCGTCGCCATTCTCCCTTCTAAGCATTCAAGGCTCGTGCCCTGCCGATATTACCAGATTAGGATTGAAATCTCAATCTACTATACTATATTGAGTAATATAGAAAATCTGTGATAATTTTCGAGTCTTGGCACGGCAGTGCGTTGAAGTTGCCTTCAGCTTGCATTACTGCAGTAGATAATTCATCGGCACACCCTGCAGAGAGTAGATCCCCCTTTCATGCACGTTTAAATGGGTGTAGCTTGCTTGCTGCCAGATGTGCAAGATGAAACCGGGCGCGAGAATTTGAGGATCCTGAAGGACTGTGTCTCTCCATTGTGGGCGGACCTCATTGTAGCATGCAGGCAGGATGATGTATTGAGGGATTCTAGAGAAGATTCCATGATAGAAAGGTGAGAAAATGGCATACGGAGACAGACACCTAATAACGGCGCAGCTTCCCCACGCCAGAAACCGCGGCTGTCTGATAACCTATTTAGCCCTTCGTATCATGTGTACCGGGTCACCCATATATAAAATGGACTGTGTAGTGGATGTTGCAAGGAGGAACGCATGGACAAATCCTTGGATCCCTGAAATTTTCGAAGGTCGTGTCGGTAACTTACAGTCGCAATTGAAGAGAGGACGAAATTCACGATTGAGGAATTTGCCACGGCATTGAGGAACTCTCGGCGTGCATGTGCAGAGCTGCGTGCCAAGCATTGCTGTTAGATACTTCTTCCAGATATTTCTGATAGAGATTGGCGCAGATCATTTTCGGACGCCATATAACTTGAATACATATGGTCAAGTCAGTAATCTCACCTGACTATAACTCTTTTTCGCACTAGTCGGGAGAGACTTCTGTTTATGCGCACATCTCACAATATTGTGCTCCACAATCTTTCTCCATAATGTTCGGTGCTGAAATGTCTTCCATCTTGTCTACGTCACATTACGTGATGTCTATCAGGGTTGGTAGCCACCATTTACATGTTTTGTTTTCCCTTGGCGTTCCATAGACACGAATACACCGGTAAATTTCAGCTGTTTGTTTAACAGAGTTCCTCTCTTTCGTTATATGCAAGATCTCTTCCTTGCTGCATTAAATTGAAATTTTTGATGCGAATTTTATAAAATCTACTGCATTATATATCTGCACACTGCTGCGATCGACTGTAATTATTTACTATTCTTCTGGTGTTGTATGAGCAATCCATGCATTTTCAGTGCACAATTATGATTGCATGTAACTACAGGTGTTATTTGTCATATCACCATCCCTCCCACAGCTCACTGCAGCCCCACCTTGCTAAATTCGCATTCATTTTCTGCCCTTAATCCCTGATATATTTCCATTGCTATTTGGATCTGCTATTCTGTGCTAATTGACTCTAAAAGGCCTTGTCACGCAATCCGGCAATGCAAACGCCATACCAAAGTACTGACCTGCCATACTCCTTTACTGCATCTAATTGTGTAACGCAGCTGACAGAAACAACTTGAATAGGTTACTCACTCTCCCATCAATATGCACTCTGAACACCATAACATCAATGTTACTGTTTTAGGTA